GCCGTCGCCGTCGGCGTCGCCGTCGCCGTTGCCGTCGGCGTAACCGCGCGGTGCATCATGGGAAATGTCCCATAATGCACCGCGCGAGCCCCCCACCGGGGTCACGTGACCTCGTGGGGGGGCACGTGACCCCCCGAGGTCACGTGACCCCGGTGCATCATGGGAAATGTCCCATAATGCACCGCGCGAGCCCCCCACCGGGGTCACGTGACCTCGTGGGGGGCACGTGACCCCCCGATGTCACGTGACTCCCCTGAGGTCACGTGACCCCTCCTCGAGGTCACGTGACCCCCGACGTTACGTGACCCCCTCCTCGAGGTCACGTGACCCCCGCCGAAGTCGCGTGATTCCCCGATTACGTCATCGTCACTGATGACGTCACCGGCATCCACATCGTTATCGTCATCATCACTGATGACGTCATCATCAATGATGACGTCGCCGGCATCCACATCGTCATCGTCATCATCATTGATGACGTCACCAGCATCCACATCGTCATCGTCATCATCACTGATGACGTCACCGGCATCCGCATCGTCATCGTCATCATCACTGATGACGTTACCGACATCCGCATCGTCATCGTCATCATCACTCATGACGTCATCAGTGACGTCACTGATGTCGTCACCGGCATCCGCATCGTCATCGTCATCATCACTAATGACGTTACCGAGATCCGCATCGTCATCGTCATCATCACTGATGACATCATCAGTGACGTCACTGATGTCGTCACCGGCATCCACATCGTCATCGTCATCATCACTGATGACGTCACCGGCATCCGCATCGTCATCGTCATCATCACTGATGACGTCACCGGCATCCGTATCGTCATCGTCATCATCACTGATGGCGTTACCGACATCCGCATCGTCATCGTCATCATCACTGATGACGTCATCAGCGACGTCACTGATGACGTCACCGACATTCGCATCGTCATCGTCATCATCACTGGTGAAGTCATCAGTGACGTCACTAATGACGTCATCGGTACCCGCATCGTCATCGTCACTGATGACGTCATCAGTGATGTCAGTGATGACATCATCGGCATTGGGGGTCACGCGACCCCCAAGGTCACGTGACCCCCCCTGGTTAGTTTAATCCCCCCCAGTGCCCTTCCCTCCTCCTCCTCAAGAGCTGCGCTCTAATTCGGCATTACAGGGAGTTGTAAGCGGCTTTCACTTTTTTTTTTTTTTTTACATATAGAAATGAGCTGCTTTGCCGAAGTGACCGACATGGCCGAAGAACATGTATTTTGTTACTCAAAATTTAAAGATGATCTTAACTTTTAAAGATGAACTTAATGGTACTGTACTGGCAACGGTAACGCTTATGCGTTACGCGTTCGCCTATCGCTTTCGCGTCTCGCTTCCGCGTGTTACGTTTTCACCAATTTACCCTGGCCAAAAACATAATCTACAGAGTGTTCATGAAAATAATTTACATGTCTTTATTGTTAGAATAAATTACATACCCCCGCAAGCTCAGCCTCCACTGAAATCTAGCACCAGCGGTCTAAGCGAGATGCTAATGTTTCAGAACTGACAGTAATCTACTCCAAAAGTTATCCATAGTTTTCTTAACACTTTTGTAACAAAATAAAGTTCAGGGTAGTTGGCTCTATTAAACTCAATGTATTTGTGGGTTTTGTCTTCACCTGTATCTGTTTCGGCGCCAAAATGGCCGATTAAAGCCAAAATGGAAGTAACGTGCTGTTCCTCGAGTGGCCGCTGCGGGAGAAATGGCGGCGTTGTGTTTGCCATTAGCTCGGTTCTGGTGGACAGATTGGGGCCACTTATTCAGAGCAGTCTCTATGGCAGTTTCCCAGCTCTTTATCAGTATCGGCTCTTTAATATGGGAAGGAAGGAAGGAAGGAAGGAAGGAAAGGGGGGGGGGGGGGCGTGCTATAGCAATGAGGAGCATCTGCAGAAGCAAGAAAGACAACAAATACTACCTGGTAACACTGGATTAGTACCTGCTTGTGCATGCACATAATCAAAATAAAGTATAGCCAAAGATTGAGCTCAATTTGCGGTAATATTTTAGTACACTCCACTGCTTATGTGTGGGTGAAAGAATACGGAGCTCGAGCGTCAGCTTCTCCTTGTTTAGAATAATTCCCCAAGTTAAATATATATATATATATATCAGGGTGTCGAACCGGAACCGAACCGAACCGAAAACCGGAACCCGACCGGTATTTTTTCCGGAACTGAACCCGAACCCGAACCGTTATATTGTTATCGCGGTAAACCCGAACCGGAACTGAACCGAAAAAAAAAAATAACGGTTACCGGCTCATGTCAAAACGGTTCGGCCACGCGCTGTTGACAATGGATGTGCTATCAATGCCATTTTTTTCTTAAGTGCCGTCAACTGACACACACCTCGCTTACATATTTTTCTTCTCCACTCAGTCTTAGGAATATAAACGTTGCATCCATGAATCTTGACAAACGCTGCATCCATGAATCTTGACATAGGAACCAGTATTGCGCTGGTCGCGGCTTGCACGGAAGAAAAAGAATTAAAAGGCTGTGCAAAAAAAAAAAAAAAAAAATCGCGTCACGGGTTTTCCTTTTTCTACAATCTCGTAAATCCTAAATGCTGCTGTGTGCTCATTTCATAACACGTTTCTAGAACGCGCGAGTTCTTGAAGCTTGCTTCCATCGGAGTGAGAAAAGAAAAGGCTGTGGAGTTTGATAATAATGCATCCGGTTTCGTATAGGCACTTAGAAGCTAACATATTTGTGAGACAGCGAACTCTTCTATTTTAATATTTATCCTATTACGTCCTTCTGGCGTTGCGTTCGGTGAAGTGTTTTTCATATTCCGTATCTTGTTTAATGAAAACTTCTTTAAGGGTCTAATTTAAGTTACCGAAGGCTAGTTCAAATAAAGAAAGCTGTATTTTATCCCCCCCTGTTCCTTTAATTTCTTACACGCCGAGGTGGCGGGATAGTTAGCGAGTTCTACTTGTAAGTGGGTTTGTAAGGAGGTCGCGGATTTTACAGCTACTGCGTCGGACCCAATTAGATGAAGTCCGAATGCGTAAACGTCGCTGAGGTAACCTTTGAGTGCACATAAAGAAACCATTCCTGGTAGAAATCCCTGAGCCTTACACTACGATGTATCCCGTTTCATATGTGCTGATTTCAGATGTTTTATTTGTAATTTATTTTGATGTTGCAATTTGTCATTTATAATTTCCAAAGCGGTTCGCGAACCGGTTCAGCGCCCCGAACCGGTTCGCGAACCGGTTCGCGGATAGAATTAATCAAACCGCAACCGAACCGAAACAAAATAAATTTACCTGAACCTGAACCGTAACCGAACCCGTATTTTTTTCGGTTCGACACACTGATACATATATATAGATATATTGATAGCTGTAGCTTTATTTTTTCACCGAGTTTCACGGCTAGAACAATTATTCAGACCGCAACTGACCATGTTATAATTTGACTGACCGGACAAACTACAACGCGAACGTTACCGTAACGCACATAAAACAGCGTAACAGCAACGAATGCTACCAACATGAATTAAGGCGAGTCCTGGCGATATTTCCAAACCAGAGGTTGGGTTGCATCATGACCCCACGCAAGAACCCTATATGACGAGGAGGACAAAATATAGGTGAATATTTGTCACAAATATTTGAACAATTAACTAGAATTTGTAATTTACTTTTTGATTTGTGAAAATATACATATTGTTCCAATAGTAAACTTGTTGAGCGTCATCCAAATCAACTAAATAAATATATTTGAGAAAGATCTCTGCGCTTGGGATCCAAGGTATTGCGTTAAAGAAACACAGCAAAAATGAAGTAATGTTTCGCACACGGGACACGTATATGTTTAAAAACAAATACATCCAAAAGTATTTTGTTAAGAATATTTACGCCGCTAGACGCAATCGACCATATGCAAAATTGTACGAACGTCTGGGCTTGGATGCACGCCAAAGACGCCCATCGGAAACTTCGCTTTTCTAACCCTACAGTTCTCGAGCGCGATGGCCTTTGGTGTTCACCCTGGCTCCTCGGGCGCCAATCTGCCTGGACCAAGAGATTCTTTCCGCATGAAAGGCCTCCCCTTTATCGGAGTTTCCAGTAAAACCAGGCAGGAAATTGGGCCCGGCAACTGAGGCTTTCTTGCAGAAGTGTAGTAAGTTGGGCGAGTTGGTATGATGACATGATGAACAGAACAGCGCACACAAAGACAAGGACAGAAAAAAGGAACATGCAGGACACACAAGCGCTGACTCGCAAATGAATTTATACACAAAAGAAAGAAGAAGAAACCGTTCTGAAAGACACGCAGGGCACGCAGTGCTTATGACACGCGACACAACACCATCTAACTGCAATGTCTTTGCCCCATAGTCCTTTCTAAAAACAAGGTTTCAGTGTTTAGTAGTGTCACTGATGGGTGGCTGACGCAGCAGTCCCCCAGGCTGTTGATGCAATGTGCTTCTAAGATTTCGCGAGTTGTCTTGTCTCGATAGTGTCCAATTATTGTTGTGCCTTTTAGAATCGGAGCACACGAGCAGGAATTGCAGTGAACGGGAAGGTGACCACCCACCGTAGATTTTAGCGAACGATCATGCTCAAGAAGGCGATCGTTTAGGCACCGTCCGGTTTGGCCCACATAGCTTTTACCACACGTTAATGGGATTTTGTACACCACGCCAATTGAACATGGCACATAAAGCGGGTTTCACATGCAGCGATTCCGCCGCCCAAATCGCTGCCGCTAGCGGCGCGGCGGCACGAATCGCGAGGTTTCATTTCACATGAGCGTTTTCTGCCGTTGCGATGGCCAATGTTGCTTGCAGCAAGCAGATGCGCAGAGTCGGTTACAGCGGCTTCTAACAACAATTTTTATGCCTTAGTTTTCAGTTTCCCCTTTAATTTAACCTTAATAAATCAAAGAAAAGCGTCGAAAAACTAAATAAACGTTGGTCTTATTTGTTTATGGTTCTTTTTTCAAACTTCGTTTTTGCGGAGGATGTAACCTCGGATCATCCTCAGCAGCGTCACGGGCAGCGCCTTCCTCGGATGTAAACACTCCAACTGATATGGCCGACCCGAACCTCCTGGACATAGTTGGTATTTCCGAAATTGGGGTATGTGCTCATGATCCGGAGTATGTCCGTCTACGAAGACTTGAAGAGTATCTTCTCTTAAGAAAGAAGCAGATCCTGCTTACTCTCCCGAGCCCAAGGCGCTGGTGGGTAAGGCCCATCTGGCAAAACCGCAGGAGAGAGTCGGAGTTCCACACATCGGTGAGTTGTGACCTCGTATTTTGATACCAAGGATTTTCTAGTGGTATTAGTTTTCTCACAATGTAATATATTCGTGCAGATGCCTTTGCTTATAAGTGGGGACACGGAGTACTTCCAGAAGTACTATAAGATGAGACCTGAAAAATTTGAAGAGCTCCATTCCCTGGTCGAAACACCACTCACAAGAGCTTACCTCACGCGGGAGCCGCTATTATCGCGGGCTAGACTTGCCATGACACTCAGGTACTGGGAACTTTCCTGCTTTTCTAATTAGCTCTGATTTATGCACAGACATATGATTTACTGTTCCACCCGCTTTCTTTAAGGTACTTATCGTCTGGAATGCAGATACAGGACATTGCTCTGGCCTTTAGAGTCGGAATCTCGACAGCGGCGGGTGTCATTCACTCCACCTGCAAGATTCTCTGGACAGCTCTCCAACCCCTTTGTCTAAAGGTATGTTGAAAGGCTGGCTGGTCAAATTAGTGATAGAAAATGCTTTGCTTAAGATTAAATTTTGCGCACCTCTTCTATTACCAGTAATTTGTGAGGTGCTTTTAGAGAAATACTGACACTGCTGGGGATTCTAGTATTGAATACGTTTTAAATCGGGAAATAAGCATACTGATTAAGATGGTGCGTCCACGGTGACCGTTCAATGCAGATCCGAGAGCTCAGCTCGCGCACTGCCGTCCGAGCCCCGCTTCTTTTTGCCTGACAATACCTAGGTATACAAGCCGTCACAGTTCGTCAGCGGGTTTCACATGCAGCGATGTTGGCTCTAGAGCGGCGCGATTTCTGCCGTCGCGGCGCTCTGGCCAGCCGCAGCGGCTGAGCGGCACGGTTCCACCTGGTTGGACATTCTTCGCCGCGGCAGAGCGGCAGCTCTCGCCTTGGCCACTCACAGCGAGGCGTTAAGTCACGTGACAGGAGGAGAAACATTGCGGGAAAGCTGGCGCACAGGACGGTGGCGTTTTCACGTTCTTGAAGCAGACGACAAGCAGAGAAAGTACGCAAGCGACTGGTTTGCGATATCTCTTTTACGGCGGGTCGCGCTTCTTTGCTTCAGCAGTCGCGTCGGAACTGTTCAGTAGATCATTGAGGAGAGGGATTGCTGTCCCCTTCCTCGTAATTTGTTTTCTCAATGAATTACGCGACTCTTTTTTGCTTTCCTCGCCCGAGTACCGACTGTAGCGAGCGCAAGAGACGCTACTTGGTAGCGGGTTGTACGTGCGCTAGTGAGAAAAACAAAAGAAGAAGAACTGAGCGACATTGACATGTTTTTTTCCAACACAGATCGTTGCACCAAGTAAGACGAAACATGTTGCGCCCAGTTCAATGAACTGCTTATCAGTGAACTGTCCAAGCGTCGGGTTCCTTAGGACGCGCAGCTCAAAGAATTTAGGAACAATGAGATCAAAGAGAAACTCGGGGAAGAGGTGACTGAGGCCTTGAAAGTGATCGACAAGACCGGTATGAAACGACTGCACTACTACCGATTCGCGAGGTTCGGGTCGGTCATATCAGTTGAAGTATGGTGCCTGGATCGCGTCTTTGAATGGTGTGTTTACCGCGGCCAAAAAAGTGGTCCCTCGTTTCCGCCTGATGACGTCATAAAAGTGTTCTGCTGTCGCCGGTCGCGACCCTGGTGGCGTCCCAACAGTTATGGTGTATGTAGCAGATGCCTGTTCTGCTCCAGGTCGCTTTCCACTGTGACAGTTCACGGAAGCTAGTGCAGCCGGAAGTTGGGACGCCTAACGGGACGCCGTGAAGACAGCGACACTCGCGTTCGCTCCTGCTTTTCGCCAGCATTTCTACGGCCAACCGCCAGGATCGCGACAGGCAACAGCATGACACTCGCGTCATTTGTTGCCACATCGGGACCACTTTTGATGTATGGGCGGGATAGGACGCTAAACACACCAGTCGAAGACGCGCTCCAGGCACCATAGTTGAAGTCTACATCCGAGGAAGGCGCTGCCCATGACGCTGCCGAGGATGATTCGACGTTTGATCCTCCGCGACAACGAAGTTCGAAAGAAAACAAGAACCATAAACAAATAGGATCAAGGTTTATTTAATATTTTAAACGCTTTTTTATTTTATTAAGGTGAAATTAAAGGATAAAATGAAAACTGAGGCATTAAAATTATTGGAAGCCGCTGTAACCTACTGTGAGCATCTGCTTGCTGCAAGCAACATTGGCCATCGCAACCGCAGGAAACGCTCATGTGAAGTGAAACCTCGCGATCCGTGCCACCACGCCGCTAGCGGCAACGATTTCGGCCACGAAATCCCTTCATGTGAAACCCGCGTAGATTAATGGTGTTATATCAATGAAGGCCATCTTGCACAAAGTTGAGCACTTATTATGAAGTTCTGGAGTTGAGTATTGTAATGTAGTATACAGATCATGAAAACCTTAAAACGGTTAAGGGATTAACCAATGTTTACTTATGTTGTTATAAAACAGATTGTAAAGGTATCTGTGTGTGCTTACATATATTATATACCATCGAAATTTGTAGTTTATGAAACTGATTTCAGAACTTCCATGCAGTCGCGTTTGAAATATTTAGAAGGCTCTATTACATGTCTGCTGCTATGACACAATGTCATCACAGGTGCCAACTACTGAGAGATGGCAGGAAGTTGCTGAGGGCTTCCAGAACAAGTGGAATTTCCCCCACTGTGTTGGTGCTGTGGATGGCAAACACATCGAGATTCAGGCACCACCGAATTCTGGTAGCTTATACTACAACTATAAGGTGCAGTTTGCGTCAGTACTTTTTATGAGCTGTATTTCTCACTGCATTTATGATTTGTTGTCATTACAGGGTACGTACTCTATCGTACTGATGGCTGTTGTGGACAGTGACTTGAAGTTCGTTGCTGTAGACGTCGGTGCCTACGGACGACAGAGTGATGGAGGTACCCTAAGTGCCTCTCGGTTCGGTAAATGTCTCGAAAATGGCCTCCTCGGCCTGCCACCACCAAAGCGGCTTCCAAACTCGACAGTAATCGCACCATATGTGTTCTTGGGGGACGAAGCGTTCCACCTACGCCCAGACTTTTTGAGACCATACCCGGGAAAGCACCAGGACGATGACAAACGAATATTCAACTATCGGCTCAGCCGTGCAAGGTGACTTAAAAGCGCAATAACCATGTAGTGAATTGGAGGGGGTGGGCGGGTAGTTTCTAGCAGGGCAGCAAATAGTTTAATTGTTGTTGTTTTTTGTCTGTTTTGTTGCGGGATAATTGTAAAGAATCATTTCCGTGAACCTGTCTCCACTTGTGCAGGAGGTGCGCCGAAAACGCTTTTGGCGTGTTGGCATCAAGGTTTCGGATATTCCGAAGAACCATCAACCTGCTACCAGAACACGCAGACTACGTCGTCATGGCAACTTGCGCACTACACAACTACTTGCGGGAGGACTGCGTCTACATTCCTCCTAGCTACGTTGACAAAGAGGATGCCTATGGCAACATCACGAACGGCAACTGGCGATCGACATTCAAAGACGACGAAACAGTTATGACGGACCTGGAGCCTCCGGTGGGGCACAATTACAGCGGTTCCGCACGTGAAGCGAGAAACCTCTTCTGCTCCTACTTTATGAGCAGGCAAGGGGCCGTACCTTGGCAGCGGACCTCTGCTGGGCTACGTCCTTGAACGGAAGCGCACCTTGTGCTGCGAGCACTTGCAAACTTTTGCATACATTGCATGGTAGACACCATCCAGACGAATAAACAAGCAAAAGGTGTGACTCATTTGTCTTTACTCGCTCTTTACAAGAAGTGCATCAGGGTATCGGCCTTGAGCATACTGAGATAGAATATGTAGAAGTTCCATCTTAAGGTGAGTCTGCATAGACTCGGGTGTCGCCTTTAAGTATGGATCTAGGGAGAGCAGGAAGTGGACAGTAGCATCCATAGGCTTGTGTGCTGCCAGGGCCCCTCTCACAACGTTGAGTTCGTCTTCCACTGCTTCCAAGTCCTGCTTCCGTTTTTGGCTTTTTGCGTGTGTCCTAGTCGCTACGCTTTCTCTTGGGCAGCTTCCCGGCTCGGCTGCTTGGGAAGGACCAGCAGCAGAGGTCTCGGCGTAGCCCGGTGACGCAAAAATCAGATTCAGACTGCTTGAGGCGTCCGGCCCCCTTGGGCTCCCTTGAGGCGTCGGACTGTCTGCTGCCGGTTGACTCATGTGTGCCACCGTTAAATCGGTGGCCTCCATGTTGCTGAAGCTTCTAAAAAGAATGTAAATTATTAAATGGGCGGTGCAACAATTTTTCTACTTCGCGCAAATACCACTCAGAGCGGGACACTGACGTTACTGACATATATGAAACACGCGTTCGTCTTTCAACCCACGTAATAGAAGTTCCAGAAAAACATAAAAAAAAAAAACGAGCAGCGTTCACCCCCTCAACTCGCAGCCAGAACAAGCGGCCATGTGATCTGGAGCCGATTATATGCCGCCAATGTCGATCATAGCCACGCGCTGGGGTTGGCAAAGCATAGGACACGCGATGAGTTCCAGACATTGCTATGGCTCGGCTATTGTCGTCGTCGCAGCGATTGGTCACGGGCCACTACCCGAATGCTTCTCGAGCTAGTAATTATTACAAGCCCAAATCGAGTGCCCACGCAATACTCGGGTCCAATCTATGAACCGCATTCAAATATCGTCATTTGGGGTCTACTGCGATCCCCACGGTACGTCATCAAAATTCGCAAAGGAAAGATTGAATGAAAATGATCGCTTTTGTCCCTGAAATTACACCGCAACAAAAGAGTTTCTTAGCCAGTGGCGTTGCGAGTATCCTTGAGTCCCACTAGTGCCAGTAAGCTCGTGCAAAGTGAAAAACATTCCAATTGAATATCGTTGCACCGCTCCTTTAAGCACTTGTGCTCACACCTATCAATTAATATTGATATTTTCCAACACTTACTTGCGCAAACCTAATGTGTCCCTCAGGAACTGCATTTGGGCCATGTAGGGCCAAACCTTAGATTTTGAGGAAGCTGCAGCCCCACTCTTTTTTGTCCCCTTCTCGTCATTCATTTTTTTTCGGAAAGTGTCCCTCAGGTTCTTCCATCGGGAGTGGACCTCATCCACTGTCACTGAAATGTCAAGTCGTATACAGCGTGATGCATGTTGATTAAAAGGCTGATGATGCTGGACATTTAGAGTAACATAGCGCGCATTGCGCATGTTGCCGTCTTCGAGAGCGCTCGTATTACAGTCGACTCAAAAGGGATAAATGACTGTCCTACAGTCGGCGATCCGCATCGAACACAAGCTTTTTGGCTTTGATAACAGTAGAGAGTTTTATCAAACGCTTAACACAATACCGATACGATGCCGGTACAGTCCGGGCGCGCTTAAAAGCATGCTACAAAGTAGTAGCAAAAGCTCCGCTGTACCGGGCTATCGTTTACGATCTGCTAAAACTCTCTAATGTCGTACGCGCCACCAGAGCCCTGCGACAGGCAACGAGCGGGGGCGGGAAGCGCAGCATTGAACGCTTCTAAATTTGGGGTCAACTTTCTGTGCCATTTCGAAGAGCGCGCTTCTATAGATTTCGCCGGTGCTCAATGTTCCGAGATTCACGCGCACCCACACAATTGATTTCATAGCGTTGGAATCTTGTCCCCAAGTATAGGAAAGCAGAGAAACATCGAGTTACAACGAGCGAAAGTACGAAGGCAAGCTGGTTATGTCACATTTCTTAGGTAATGTCAAGTGCTTGGTCACAAGCCATGGGCATTGCTGTTCTTGGTCTACTGCGACTGCTGGGAACACCCTGTGCAATTGTTCAGATATCACTATAAGCCACTTTGCAATATTTATTTTAAAAATCAAGACCCCTCACCAGATACGTCCGAATTACTCGGATATTGGGGGGCAGGGGTGGGGGGCCAAACAGAGTTATTTTTTGCCCCGTCCAAGTAAGTATTCCTTACATCAAAATTTAGAAATATCTAGGGGGGCGCGGGGAAGGGGGGGGGGGGGGCGATCGCCTCCCTCTGTTCCGATACCATGCACTGCCTTTGACGTTTGCTGAATAATTCACATGGTTAAACAGTGTAAAAACGTTCAAACCCGTGGTAGTGCAGTGGTTTCATACCGGTCTTGTCGATCACTTTCACGGCTTCAGTCACCTCTTCCCAGAGTGTCTCTTTCGTCCCACTGTTCCTAAATGCTTTGAGCTGCGCGTCCCAAAGAAGTTGACGCTTGGACACTTCACTTATCAGGAGTTCATTGAACTCGGCGCGATACATTTTCCTACTTGTTGGGCGATCTGTGTTCGAGAAGACACGAAATGTCGCTCAGTTCTTCTTCTTTTATTTTCCCACTAGCGCTCGCACGAGCCGCTTCCGATTAGCGTCTCTTGCGCTCGCTACAGTCGGTACTCAGGTGAGGAAAGCAAAAAGAGCGCCAGCGTCGGAATTTGTTTTCATTGAGAAAACAAATTCCGAGGAACGGCACAGCCATCCCCCTCCTCCATAATTTCCTGAACAGTTCCGACGCGACTGCTGAGGCAAAGAAGCTCGACCCACCCGAAAAAAACAAACCGCAAACCAGTCGCTGCGTGCTTTCTCTGCTTGTCTTCTGCTTCAAGAACGTGAAACAGTGGCTCTTTCTTTCGTGTGCATGAAAGCTTTAGAGTGCTTGTTTTGAGGGTGCGCTGTTTCCTTGTCAGTCGTGAAGGTGAAACCGCCGCCGTCCTATCTGCCAGCTTTCCCGCAATGCTTCTCCTCCTGTCACGTGGTTTCCCGCCGCGCTGTGAGTGGCCAGAAGCTGCCGCTCTGCCGCGGCGAAAAATTTCCAACCTGGTGGAACCGCGCCGCTCAACCGCTGCGGCTGGCCAGAGCGCCGCGACGGCAGAAATCGCGCCGCTCTAGGGCCAAAATCGCTGCATGTGAAACCCGCTTAAGGGTGGCTGTGGCGTTTCTGGCACTTGCCTTTGTTGAGGTTATCCGCTATCGAGCGAACCTTTGAACAGATTTGCGCCATTCTTTTTGGAGCCGAAAACACCACAGGCACCGCAATGCTTCTCCTCCTGTCACGTGGTTTCCCGCCGCGCTGTGAGTGGCCAGAAGCTGCCGCTCTGCCGCGGCGAAAAATTTCCAACCTGGTGGAACCGCGCCGCTCAACCGCTGCGGCTGGCCAGAGCGCCGCGACGGCAGAAATCGCGCCGCTCTAGGGCCAAAATCGCTGCATGTGAAACCCGCTTAAGGGTGGCTGTGGCGTTTCTGGCACTTGCCTTTGTTGAGGTTATCCGCTATCGAGCGAACCTTTGAACAGATTTGCGCCATTCTTTTTGGAGCCGAAAACACCACAGGCACATCGTACCTTTGGGCTGCTCTTTTTAAATTATGAGGGGTTTTGTGCATGTATGGTACAACAACCTTTCGTTTCTGTGGATCTCGAGGTTTCTTTCTCCGAATCCCTTTAGTCTTGCGTACTAAGACCGCCACCACCTCGTTTAAGACCTGTGATGGAAAGCCCGACTTTTGGAGTCTCTCAACTTGAGCATTAAAACTTTCACGAACAGTGTGAAAGCAGGACTTCGTAAGTGCAGCCCCAAGTATGGTAACCGCAATCCCCCTTTTAACAACTTTCGAATGCGCGGATGTGTAGTGAAGGATGCCCTTTTTTGACCTAGGAGAGAAACTCCAGCAGATATGGTTTGTATGAAGAGATAACGAAAGGTCCAGGAACTGTAACTTTCCGTCCGAAGGCTTTTCAACAGTGAATTTAAAGGGATACGGAATCGAAACTTGAAATATAGAGAAAACATCAAGAAATGAGTTCAATATGATCAGCTAAGCCTGTAATGAATAATCGCACGGTCGTATTTTGAGCAGATGGCTATATTTTATGCTCTAAATGCCGCGATATTGGCGAGCGCTTCAAAATCAGCCATGGAGGAGCGCGATGCATCTCGGGAGATCCGGCAGACGTCTTTACGTCATCATGCCTCGGACGACCAAGCGTACCGTAGTGACGAGTTTTGCCACTTGGAGGCGTCAACGCGTTACAATCTCGCTTTGTCAAAGTACCCAAGGGCTGTAGATATCGCGGGGCCAGCAGAGGCAGCAGAGGCGCGGAGGGGCGGAGGTGTCAGAGCTGCTTCAACTGCCTTGAGTGTGCGATGGCGTGTCTACATGACGAGAGTGGTGGCAGCGGCAGTGGGTACGATGACATTAGCGAAGACGAAGACGTCAACAGATCGCTAGTGGCTATGGTGGGGAAAAAGCGATTCGGCTTAGAGCCATATCTGTACGATCCTTCGGCATCGTCGTCCGCAACAGACGAGGAGTCGTCCGACTCTCCGGAAACGCCAGGCTGGCCAGGCAGCCCACATCCACCAGCAGCCCGGCGCGTCGGCACGGCGAATTGGTGAGCCTAGGGTGCCTTCATGTGCGCTTTGCTTAGGGTGGAGACATCTGGCCATTTTGTCTCACACTTTTATTTTTACTTTTTGTTCAGAAGCGCGTGAAAGAACGTGTCCCTGCACGCGCTCGTGGCGCTGACTGTGCTCCGGCGACATTTTGTTTTCGTCGATTTCTTTGTATTTTACCCGTGAGCGCGTGCTGTCGGCATCGGGTACTACAAAGGGTGGCATCACCCTAAACAGAAGGACATTGAGGCACACTAGGTGAGCCTAGTCACAAAAGAGTCCGCGAATGCATTCGCGCGCGCACGTGTAATAAAGCTGCGAGACGATTTAATGACAGCGCGCTAGCCCCGCTGTCATGAATGATGAAAGTACGCTGTCTAAACCAGGTCGTTGTATTAGCGTGTAACTTCTGTTGGTAAGCTTGCGAAACGTGGTTTCGTCGAAGGAGCGCTCGCGTTAACAAAGATCAGTAGCTAAAGTACGCTTGCAACGGCGGCTATCCAAAAGTGTACGTACGCACGAACACGGCAATCAATGTGCCGCGAAACACTTTTATGGAACGACTGAAAGATGTATAAAAACGCAAGTTTCGAACCAAAAAGAGCGTGTGGCCTTCGAAAGAGCTTTCCCCGCGCGTGGGCTGGATCGTGCAGGCAACATCTTTAGCGAAATAATTTGTTGGCCTAGTTGGGTAAACATCACAAAAATAAAAAAGCGCGAAAGACAAGGAGAAGTGGAAGACTAGACAGGACAAACCCTTGTCCTGTGTAGTCTTCCACTTGTCCTCGTCTTTCGCGCTTTTTATTTTCGTGATGTAGCAACACAATCTGCCCGGGTGCTCCGCCGCAAGTGCGTACGTAACCAGTGCTACCATGCCACAAGCCCGAGGTGGTTTTGCACGACGTTTCCCCTTCGCGCGTGCGCAGCGGTCCCGCTCAAAGCATCGCGCTCGCTCTGGTAGCATCTTCGCTCACACTTATCGCTGAAGACTGCCTGCCGTAGTGCAGCAACAGTGCTTCACACTGTAGCCGAGACATTGCGTCAGTGCAATATGTCATGTAGTAACGGTACACGGCGGTACGATGCTCATCGAGATCGAACAGGAGAGGAATGGGCAGAGCCCAGCATCCCCAGCTGGTTCTGCGATTTCATGTTCCGTTCAACATGCTCGGCTACTAATCTTCCCTGAAGGAATGTAATCTACTGTGAGTGCTTGCAAACCAAAGATGTAAAGAACACACGTTGTGAAGGTTGTGCGAATTTAGTACTTTTTCACGAACATATTTGTACATACCACACACTTTGTAGGTCTCGAGAATATTAAGGGTGAATAAATAGAAAAACAAATCTCTTTGTACTAACAGGTGCTCCTGTGGCAGCGTCTGCAGACCAATGCAGACAGTCGAGGAGTCGGTGTGCTGCAGGGAGTTGCACAATGTGGCGCGTATGTGCAGTGACCAGGGGGTGCCTTGTGTAACAAAGCACCCCTTGTTCGAGCTGTATTGCCTAAACACCGACATCTTGGACCTAGAGTACCTCAAGCTCCGGTACTTCTGCCCTCTTGATGCAGGAGACAGGGGCCCACAAGAGTATGTATATTGTAATTCTAGCAGAAGTCATGATGTAAGCAAGATGATTTTCTCACTTGATACTGCCTCTCCTTCAGAAATCAACATTCCATGATTCCAGTTTTCTTATGCTCCATTTTTTTCTGGATTTGTAATATAAAAGGATAAACCACCATAGAAGAGTTCTGTAACTTGTATTGCCTGCACTGTACTCGGCATCACCTGTTTTGTGCTGCATTGTCGAGGCAAATGTAGCTTCCACCGTGCTTCAGCTACACACTGCTGCAAAAGCACATGGCTTTGTGTTTATTCTCAATCAAATGCTATCGCACAACTAGCTTTGACAGTTAAAGCACTATCGCAGCTACTCTATCTTTTGCAACATGGCAGAAAATAGTTGTCACCAAATAAAACGCATGTGTAAACATGCACAATCTATGAAGAGTCTACTACTCAATAAAATTTGCTTTCAAGCTCGTCCATCGCTGTATTCATAGCATTTCAGATAATACAGATAGCAACTGGTACATATACAGGTCATCATTGCAGCATGGTTGGGTGCGATATCTCAAGAAAAAAATAACAAAATTCCGTAACGAGCAGTAAATTTTTATATATGCCAATGACTGATTGACCTCGGTGATGACAAGTAGTAAAAAATACAAAGGTATGCTTCTTCCTGCATTATCGATATTGCTACCATGTAACTAGATATTGAGAAATTTTTTGTAAATTGCAGTTAGGTTCTATTATATTCTCTTGAACTGGCAACTGACTGGTACTTCATGCAATCATCTCATTTTAGGAGGCACCGCTACACTGCCTACCGGCAATTCACTTGGTGGGTTCACCATAAGCTGGGGCGCGGTAACCGGGTGCCACTGCCCAGCTGCGCCGTGCAACGAATTCGACGAGAGTTCCCATCCACCGATGGAAGTTATGTCGGTTTCAAGAAATAAAAGGTATCTGCCATATGAAGAACTCCTTTACATCATGCTATAACTGATGTGGCTAGACAAAAACGGCCTGGAATCAACACACATTTATTATACAACACAAAACCAGAACAGGGTGATGTAGGTCGAATATACAACATGGTCCGTTTCCGTATTGTACTGAAAAATATACTTCTTGCAACAGGCCTTGACCTTTCTCACTGAGTCTGGTTCTGCTGCAAGTCCTCCCATTAACTCGGTTCAAGTGCGCTTCCCATGTCTGTTACCAACAAATACTTGATCACCAATTGTTGCAGAAAATTTTACTAATTTTCACGTTTTGCTCAGTCAGGAACAGAAAGGCACCTGGAAACACATTTGTACTAACTTCATGGAACGATTCACAGCAAAACTCAACTTTCTAAAAAAAAAATCATCACATGTGATAAGACCTCGATTTTCTAGTACAGTCTGGATACCGGACAACTTATGCACTGGAATACTCCCATGTCACCGATAAGAAAAATGGCAATGCAGAATCTGCAGAAAAGGTAAAGGAAAAAATGACATTTCTGCTAGAGGGGTTGGCACATGGTAACCTGCAGCACTATTCTCAACAGGGGGAAAGTTGCATGTAACATTGTAATGATAGGGGGGGGGGGGCATGTTAAAGAGGGTGTTAGTGAAATTGGAAGACTAATAAATCATGCTTTTGTCACCGGTCAATATTTAATATCCACAACTGGTACAACTACCAGATGAGAAAGGTTTTCATATAACAATATACCTTCTCGATTGCCGGGAGCAGAAAGGCCTTCTGAATAATAAAGAAGGTCTTGTAGCAGAAACAGGCGATGCCCATGCTACTGAGCATCCGCAGGGCCTTTTTGATGCTGCAGCCCGTGAAGAGGATTGCAGCAGCCACCAGGATGTTGCCAACTGGCTTCCGCCTGATGACAGGTTGGCTGCACCACGTCTCTGTATGGCCGCTCCGACAGAGCGTAGACACCTGAAGGCTTGAGCCCTGGACGGTCTTGTCGATGTGAGTGTTGGGGGCAGCACAGGAGCGACACGTCTCCAGTAGCTGGTCCAGGCATGACTCGAAGACGATGAACTTCCGCTCATGCACCAAAGACGGAGCTTCCTTCTCGGGGCTATGTTGCAAAAACAAACATCATCTCAACAAGTGGCTCAGTCAAGAATGAAGATGCGGTCAGTTATTGCTCAAGAGCATACAAACCTAGCAAAGCTGTCCTCTGACAGACAGTAGCTGGAATCCGCTTCTGCTCTTGGTGGACAAAGATCTGAGAGATCCAGATCAGTGTCGAGCGCATCGTCTCCGTGAGACGGTGAAGAACACCAGACCATCGTCCCCGAAACATCCGTCTGCACGAACCGGGTCCTTGACGGCGGTTTGATGCATGCCTGGGTAACTGGTGAACAGTGTGGAGCTCTAGAAACATGCCTTTACACAATAAAATGCACATATTTGAATTTAATATTGGATTGGCGGCTACTTGGAACACTTCAGAAATTGTGCCAAAGCTTCTAATAAAGAAACTCTCATGACATCCCATGAATTCGAGAAGTACATCTCTAGAATTGCTCAAGGTATATCTTCATGTATAAGTCAACAGGTATCTTGGCTTCCGCCAATCTATATAACTTTCATGGTAAATATTTTTTGATATGCATTTAAAAATCATCTGGCTTAGACATTCCATCAAAAGCAGTAAGTGTGTGACAACACTTGATGGAGTGTTTAACGAACAGCACTTTCTATCTGAAGTTTGTGAAAAAAATAAACTCGGTAAATTGTGACCGTCGCACTGAGGCGTCACATGACACCATGTTGTCATATGACAATGATGTCACGTGGCCTTCTGACATCATGCAATGCCATAAACACACACATAAGGTTCCCATGTAAAGTAATCTCCTTTAAGGCATCCTCATACCAACCAAAACAAGTTCCAGCATATGACCCCACCTTTATTTTTGTAGATGCCCGTCGTCTGTGTCAGTGCACACCGTGTCTTGCAACACGCTGCTGCTGATGCCAAAGACGGCCTTGTGCTAGTTGCCGCACTGGAGTTCCCTAAAGAGAAAAGGAAGAAGGAAATATAAAATCACCTGGGAACCGTTGATACCATCAAAGCATTGTATGGGTGTTCACGGTGGCATCAAGGCACGCAATTTGGGCACATGTTCAAACAGTTGTTCTAGGACAGATATTGCAATATGGCAGAGGTTCAGTTAGTGGCCCATACATACCGGAGGGCACTGGGGCTCCTGATGTAGTCCTCATCCCGAAAATGCTCGCTGCATAGACGATCACTTTTCGAAGGAACCCACGTTGGAAAGGACGGGCGAGCGAGACGACTCCACAGGTAACAGAGCTTCTCGTCCTTCGGAAACGTGTGTGCCGACGTCTCACAACGAACAACACTGTTCCCACAACCCTCTGTCGCACAATATTTTGGCATCCCGTCGTAAAGTCTCCGAAAAACCTCGCAGAAAAATGATGTGTGTTAAACTTCACGACAGCGACACGCGCACCAAACCTGAGAACAACCGAAGCACGCGTTTGCACGTCGCGCGAGAGCTGAAACCAAGGTGGCTCACTTCGTTTTGGCTCTTTCCACCAAGACGCCTCGGTATTGCCTTCAGGCCTAGGCAATCTATACCAGTGAGCGGACATACCGCTGTGGCGCTGCTTTCAGAGGCATGTTGTCGTCACGACATTCCATTGAAGCTTCATAACCAACTACCAGGTGGTTTTTGATTATCGTTTAATTCACTTTAAAATATGTTTTCTTGCGTTTTCTAGCGCAATATTTATGTTTCTGTGGTTGTGCTGCTACCTGCGTCGTGTTGAAACAAAGAAATGAGCTCCAGAATTTTGTTTCCGTACCCCTTTAAGACCAAAGCCGCACCTGGAAAAGAAAGGACTATGGGGCAAAGACATTGCAGTTAGATGGTGTTGTGTCGCGTGTCATAAGCACTGCGTGCCCTGCGTGTCTTTCAGAACGGTTTCTTCTTCTTTCTTTTGTGTATAAATTCAGTTGCGAGTCAGCGCTTGTGTGTCCTGGATGTTCCTTTTCTCTGTCCTTGTCTTTGTGTGCGCTGTTCTGTTCATCATGTCATCATACCAACTCGCCCAACTTACTACACTTCTGCAATTCATTTCTTGTGCATCGGGCTCTTCTTCTGTCATCTCCAACCTTCCGTTCATCAATCCCTTTCTTCTGGTCAACCTGGCAGCACAGTGTGTGTGCAGTGCAAGGGTTGCTTTATGGCATATTCGACAAGGTACGTGTCCGATTGAACTTCAAGGCTTATGTGGCTTCCTCACTCCCTCTGGTGGACATTCTCGTAGAATGTGCAAAATATTGCGCTCCGAATACTGGAGGCAAGCGCGTTTTTTCAAGGACTGTCTGTGGACAGTATGCTCCACCCAAGAGGGCTCTCAAGAGCGGTGTCGCTGGTCCTTTTATGAAATGAACAAGTCGGTTGGAGATGTTGCTGAATTTTTATGGCGCCGAGTCCGACTACGGTTACCAAAAAAGAACAAGCCTCCGCCCACCGGTGGTCACTTTACATCTTTGGGGGACATTCAAGTCCCGCCAGAGCTCGAAAAGGTCTTAGGCCTTGGGCCCAAGTTTTGCCTCGAACCAACTCTTCAACCCCCCGAGCTTCTGGCGCTAACTAAAAAAAAATGCATACAAGGTCAATGAAGATGTCCGACCGCGTTGTATTCATGAATGTGTTGACGCTCTCGGTGGCAGCCATACTCGGCCTAGACATACCTATGATCCCCGTCCTCTGATTTCTTTTTTGACCGATAATCACCTTCGCGTTTTAGAGGCTGATAAGGAAGGATCCTTTGTATTGATGCCTGAAGAACACTTTAATGAAAAAGCCTGTACCGCCATGAGCAAGAACTTCAAGCGGGTACAAGTGTCCCCCAAGCAGATTAAGGCGCAGGCATGAAAGCTCTGTGAACGCCATTCCTTGACAAGCTTGTCCGGAAACATCAAGAAAGCAACAGGGCTTAACCTTGAGGTGTTCTTTAGTGTGAAAACCCATAAGGAAGCCTGCCCGTTCCGTGCCATCATCACTGAGAGAGGCACGTGGCAGCGCCAGATGGCGGGCTTTCTTCAAAAACACCTATCAGGTTTGCAAATCGAGGACCCCTTTTTAGTCAGCAATTCTGAAGCAGTAGTGGAAGCTTTCAAGAACAATAATTTCAACAACCACTCTGTGTTCAGTGTTGACGTGCAAGACCTTTTTTATTATCTTCCACACCAAGCATTACTTGTCTCAGTCAAGTCCTGCATTGAAGAGCAAGGGGAGCTCTCCTTCAGAAACTCTAGAGGTGTTTCTTTAGAAGGCTTTCTAGAACTTCTGCAATTCTATTTGAACTCTATTATCGTTGGCTGGAACAATGGTACCTTTACGCAGCGGTCAGGTGTGTGCATAGGATCATGCGTGGCCCCCGTTCTTAGTGAAATTTTTCTAGCAAGTGTTGATAGAGCTATTGAAGGTGCCCTTAGCACATTAGAAGTGTCAAAGATGTTCCGATACGTTGACGATTTTTTGCTAGTGTATCCCAAGTCTGTTGAAGGTGATTACGTTGATAAGGTTATGAGCGTATTTTCCAGGTGCGGCTTTGGTCTTAAATTCACTGTTGAAAAACCTTCGGACGGAAAGTTACAGTTCCTGGACCTTTCGTTATCTCTTCATACAAACCATATCTGCTCGAGTTTCTCTCCTAGGTCAAAAAAGGGCATCCTTCACTACACATCCGCACATTCGAAAGTTGTTAAAAGGGGGATTGCGGTTACCATACTTGGGGCTGCACTTACGAAGTCCTGCTTTCACACTGTTCGTGAAAGTTTTAATGCTCAAGTTGAGAGACTCCAAAAGTCGGGCTTTCCATCACAGGTCTTAAACGAGGTGGTGGCGGTCTTAGTACGCAAGACTAAAGGGATTCGGAGAGAGAAACCTCGAGATCCACAGAAACGAAAGGTTGTTGTACCATACATGCACAAAACCTCTCATAATTTAAAAGAGCAGCCCAAAGGTACGATGTGCCTGTGGTGTTTTCGGCTCCAAAAAGAATGGCGCAAATC